AGGAGCGGCAGGAGGAGGAGGAGGAGCGGCAGGAGGAGGAGGAGGAGGAGGAGCGGCAGGAGGAGGAGCGGCAGGAGGAGGAGCGGCAGGAGGAGGAGCGGCAGGAGCAGGAGCAGTAGTAGCAGTAGCAGGAGCAGTAGCAGTCGTAGTCGTAGTCGTAGTCAGGTGAGGGTTGCCGACTTCAGCGAGGGGAAATTTTTGAGGGGAAGGATTCGCTCCAAAGATTTCTAACTGATCCGAACCACCGGAGACTCCCGAAATCATCGAAGCCTGCCCTTCGGTCTGGCAGTCGGGCAGGTGGGGTGGTCTTTGGCAACGGACTTTTGCCACTCTTCAGCGGGAGCCACTTGCTGAGCACAGGCTACTTCTATGCCTTCAAGGCCAGCCTGGCCGGAAGCTGGATGGGCGAGTCTGAGGAAGACCAGTCGCGGCAAGTCACGGTGCAGAAGCACTCTTGGACCCTGGCCCTTTGCCTCAACACTTTGAACTGGTGATTTGTGATAGATTGAGTAATTTACTGTAGGCAATGTGCTTCGCGCATGGGGAAACGGTATTATTAGTATTACATGGGCTTGATATCTGAATTCTTTTTCTTGCAACAGTGAATGTATGCCTTCATCGCATTTCTCTGGCTGACAGGTGGACGCGGTCGATGAGGAACACTTCCCGTGTGGCCTCCTAGGGCCTCTGCTTGTCGGTCTCAGGTCCCACCCTCACCCCCAAAAGTGTTTCAGAGTCGATGGGCCTAGATAGGTGGGCTGTTGCAACTGTGCGGACCAAAAAGGAACTCTAGCACTTGACACTCAGAGAAAGATGTTTCCTTCATGATGAGGGATTTCTTCATTTTTGGGACCAACCATGATGCGGGCATGATATCTCTAAGAGGTGCTGTTGTTGAAACCAACAATCTACAACACTGTTCAGTGATGCTGGCCGTCCGCCCGGGCGATCGGTGCCCATCCGAGGGGTTCAGGTCCATGGGCAGCGGCCTGAGGTCAGACATATTGTCAGAACGGCCTGGAGAAAGAACAAATGGATAAAGATTCTACCAGCATAGACCCCAAACAGTAAACCGTTTGGGGAAAAATAGGGATCCAGCGTAATAGCAAGGGCCCCTTCCAGGATTGGTTTCTCGTCAGAACGTCGTCGGTCGGCGACCACGCGCGTTCAGGCTCGAAGGCTTGCGCGACTTGTCCTTGGCCTTTGGTGTGACGTTCCTGCCGGGCGGGCACAGGCGCGATGGGCGAACATGTCGACCATGGACGCGGGGTCCGGGAGTTTGGAGGGGTTGGAGGAAAACCAGCAAAGGCACGCACCACTTGCTTGGATGGTGAACATCCCAAAAATGATTTTTTCTCTGTGGATCCGGGTATAGTTGTAAGGTTTCAAGTCTGCTGAGATGGACACGCTGAAAGTGCTCCCTTGAAGAGAAGAGGAAGTTCTCCCCTCCCTTTTGGGAAGGGATGTCATCGTGGACCTGGGAATACCTGGGATGAGTTTCAGGCCCTCGAAGCATGCTTGTGATTTTTTTTCTTTTTGAGAGGTGCGGAGTGGCCTTAATTCATGCTGGCGAAGGCTGCCTTTGGATGCTTTTCATCATTGCACTTGATGCTCGTGGACCACCTTTTGTGGAGTGAAGATCTCTGAATTCTGCCCTTCCTCTTGCCTGTCTACACAACCAAAGAAAAAGCCACGCTGGAGGGGTCGAAACCATCGAAACCCAGCGGGCGCTTTCGAGCAGGCTTTGCAAGAAGCCCATGTACGCCTATGAGATCCCAGGCGTTGGTCGTTGCGAAGACGGAAGGATCGTTGGCCCCAACAGCCCAACAACCCGGATCCCATCGGAAGGATCGTTGGATTTGGTGTAGCGAGGTTTACGGCAACACAGAAAGAAGCAGGTTACGGCAGCATGGATCTTGGACCCGGCATGTTTCCACAGAACTGCTCGTGTGAACTAGCAGCGCTTCATGGCTATACTCACCCACCAGACTGGAGAAACGGGGAAATCCGCGCCTGAATCAAAGTCGCGGCCGTTGGGTTGTGTGGGTTTTGCGGACGAGTGGTGGTCCGTCCGGGTGTCCCTCACCAAGCTAGCATGGTGCCGCCACTGGTACAGTATATCCCCCATGTTTTAGCCTCTTGACTCAATCCCAAACGGTTTAGAAAGGGCTTTGCCAAGTCAGTCTTTGGGAGGAGCGCAATAAGGACAGTCCTTCCTGACACAAATCAAACATAATCAAACAGTATTCACGCATATTCACGCCAACTCTAATAATCTAATCCGATTGTGTGTCCTATCAGTTCCCCAATGATGCTCAGGATTTCTGAGTTGTTCAATTGGCCAGTTGAACGTTCAACATTGAACGGTGAGACTTTTGGTAGGAAGCATCCTCATTGGGTATGGCCAGCACATGGTGGATAGTCAGAGCCTCGGTGGGTGGAGTGAGCACATGGGCGAGCGAGCCGACCGACACGATTCGTGGTGTGAGCGACCTACCCAGTGTACTGAGCACAGGTTTTGGGGAGCCAGCAAGTGGTTCGAAATATGAACGAAGAGAATCACACATTGGCAAAAACCCGGAGAATGCACTCAATGTTTTGATTGGGATATTCTCCGCCATGTGGTTGGCCACAATTTTAAGCTTTCACCACTTTGGATACTGTAGGGCCTCATCTGCTCAGCTTGAGCCTTCCGCTAGCCATTTCGGATCCAACTACTGTACTTCAACGATGGGTTCGGCTGGGAGTGTTCCACGGAAGGCCTCGGCCTTTGACCGCGCGGGGCCGCAGGCCAGCCGCGCTAGCAAGCCCGTGTCAGCCGTGGAAGCTGTGAGCTACTTGTTCCGTGAAGTGCCTTTCTGGACTCCAAGCTGAGACATGAAGATGAGGCGAAAGGGAGAGGACGCCGTTGTCACAGACACACTTCCGGAACAGACCCATCCATTTGTGAAGGACATGTGTGAACTGCGGATCTCAGAAAGCGCACTCACACAGAAGCGCCAAAGTGGAAGAGGGCCAACCAACCTATGTTGAAACATGTTGAAAATTGGACACTGATTCTTTGATCCCCCAGTGCTTTCAGTGTGTTGCTCGCTTTCCCGATTTTCATCTCCATGGACCAGCGCCAACCCAGACCCTGAAGGAGCACATCCCTTGTCCCTTGATGCAAGCCATGTGGGTTCGATCTGGACCTCACGGTTTCTGTTGATTTCCCTGATAGCATGTTTTGTTCCTGCAAGTCAACTATATAGGATCCGCTGTTTTTGACGCCGATCGCCGATCGCCATGTGGATGAAGAAAACATTGCACTTGCATGCACTTGCACCGCATTTGGTACTGACCCTGATCAACCTTGGCAGGCAAGACGACCTACAGATTCCGCGGTGGAACATCCTCTTCCATTTCGTGCCGAAAGGATCCATACCTATGACGCAGATGCCTGGAGAATGCGCTTTGGGCATTTGCATGTGTTCGAGACTTGGCGAAATCACTTAGAGACTTAACTTCAACTTTCATGAAGATTTCTTGTACAAGTCCCAAAGACTCAGGGCTTTGATGAAGGAGTCCTAAAACAATGACTGATCTGAGGCAGATGCGGGCCCTGCGGGCCCTGAACCGGTGGGGGAGGCCGAGCATGTCAACCTCACGGAGACATCAACTGAAACCGTGCTTGCAAGAACCCCAAGTGCGGTATCAGAATCTCTTTCTGACTGTCGAACACCCTTTTAAAAGGTGCGAACCGAAAAGCGTGATGTGTTCAGTCCGCTCAAGGATACACATACAGCGCATACAGGGGCAGGATAAAAGGTTCGGAAATAGAGGAACTAGTACTAGAATGGACTAGACATGACTAGACATGTTTCCAATTTTTGGTAAGTTTGCACCATCAACCATAGGATTTGCCTGTGTCGATTATAGTCGCCGATGGTCCGTGTTTGGTCCCGTCTGACCAAATCCTTTTGTGTGCCCACCATACCAGCATTGCTGACCAGAAGGACTGAAACTTGTTCTGCTTGGTGGATGCTGCGACAGTTGAAAGCTGTTGAAAGGCGGATTTGAGCTGCAGCCTCTTGGAGAGGACCGTGGTTCATGGGTAGCTATCACATCTTAAAGTACACATTTTTGGGGCCAGTGCACCGAATTCGCTTCTTACAGATCTGGAGGTTCGACCCTCCGGCTCAGTTGGTGTGACTTTCGATGGTTTTATCCCTCAGCCCCCGGCTTGAAACTTCGCTTAGCGATGCTCGGGGCCAGGGCAATCGAAGGCATATATCTGCCCAAGTGGAAGAATGCGAACGGTGAGTTTTCAGGACTGTGGGTCAAAATCCATCAACACCTTGTATGCAAACATGAACAGAATGGAACATACTTGATGGTCAGCTGGGGAAATTGCTTTGACCCATGGCCATCCTCCAGACAACAAGATCTGCGCCATTGCACCGGGTGGTGAAATCCTGTGGCGCAAAAGATGTGCTTCTGTGTGGCTTGCGCGGAAATGACTGGGAGTTGAACCAGGCACCTGTTGATTGGGGCACACGAAGCAGCATGCAGTTTGGCGAACCCCCATGCCCTAATGTCTGGTCAAGACCTTGATAAACACTGGGTGGTTTCTGCAACCACAGTGGTAAGGGATAGGCACCGACCAAATCACTGCACTTCTATCATCCTCTTGTAATTCGCGTGTTTTTCGGCACCCTCCGCGACAACTGGGTCACTCACTCGCGAGAGCGCCCGAGCCCACGAGCCGAGGTGGGGAGTGGTTCACACACAAGGCACCATGGGAACACACATGTGTGAAAAAAACGAACGGCACCTGCCTGTAGGAGGTAGATGAGGTAGTTTGGATCATTTCATCTGAGGACAAACAGGTTTGTTGGGGTGAAGTCTCATTGCTTGCCTGGCACTGGTCGGTCTCCCGTGTCGTTCCGGCACGTACGGAGCACAGGTAGTGCTGCAAACCAAGCGGCTCCAAACCGCTGGCAGCGACGATGGCCTCCAACCTGAAGTTTAGCTAACAATCTAGGAACCAAATGAATAGTGCGTGAGCTATCCTGCGTCCATACTAGTAGCTTAAGTAAGCTAGTAGCCACCTCAGTTCCTTAATTAAGTAGGCGCCTACTTAATTAAGTAGGGAGGGGGGGAGTGGCCTTAATTCAAGACATGTCTCGGGATGTTGAATTTTCCATTCCAAGCAAGGCGAAAAGGGCCTGGTTCACCAGAAACCGGACCTCCCGTGGCCATGGGGTGAAGAAATCCTGGCGTCCCACCGAGCAACGAACCTGAAAGCACCTCTTAACCTGCAAGTTTCTCACAGCTTGTTAAATCACATACTAATCCTGGTTTTCCGAAGCCCTAGGGTGATTGATGTTTGTCCGGTGAATCTCTTTTGGAGAGCACCTTTTTACTCAGTCTCTTTGTCCTTGACTTGGGCAACTCCGAATCAGGTCGTAGTAGCACTCAGCCAGGCCTGGGATCCCAAGACCCTCGACGTGGGGGATGTGGCCAGGGACCCCGGCGTAAGTCCGCGTTCGCGACGTAACGTGGACCCGCACAGAGAAGACAGGGCACCATACCTATTCAACACATCAAAGCCTTCAAATGCTCCATGTGTTTGGCTTGAACAATGCCACGAAGAGTTGGTTCAGGTCCTATTTTTCGAGCCAATCTCGAGCGATACAGTAGGTTCGCGAATTGTTGAATTTGGTGCTGCAGAGCGTCGTGATTTCCAAGGGCTGGAGGGGTGAGTCTTAGGCCATGTTGGCGCAGCAGAGCCCGCGCGACCAAGGTGGGGCTTTTGGTGAGCCCTCACGGTGACTTGGTGGTTTATGTGAACGGCATGCAGGCAGGGCCTGTGTAGAGCCATAGTGCTGTAGCAAGTCTGAACAAGTCAACCTCTCAGATACTGCAATCCAGTTTTGCTCCAAGGCTTTTCTGCCCTCAGGCCAATCTTGAGGCTGAGGTCACAGCGAGCAGTGAAGATGTTCTTTTCCTTGTAGTGGGTTTCTTGTGTTGGCGGGCTGGTGGGTGCAGGTTGGCAAGGTGGGTGGGTGGGGAGATGGGTGGCATTCCCGAATGTTTTGGTTTCATACATGTTCATACCATTTGTTGTTGTTGTTGTGGTTGCTTCGACAAAGTGAGTGGCCTTGTCTTCAGGTTGACGACTTAGTCTACTTGTGCGACACAGACCTTGCCGCTACGAAATCCTATTGTTTCTAGATGGGTTTGATGGGTGGGTCGCATTGGGATTTTTGATGACCAGAGCGTTCCAGGTGCTGCGAGCGGCGACCAGTTTGACCAAGGGGAATCGACATGAACCACATCCCCGACGTAAGGCGCAGAGACGTTTTTTGGGTGGCGGTGGGTAGCCCTGGAAGATCAGGAGGTGCGGTTTGAGAAGATGTAGGTTGAGGCAAAACCATGAATTATATAGTAGCGAGTGCATGTTGTGAAAGAACGAGTAGAGCAAATACAACTATGGTAGGCAAACCAGAGCCCGCCTGGCGAAGGGTTTGCTGTTGAAATTCCAGGAGATGAGAAGTGTCAGACACTTCTTGCAGATTGACCAATGGGAGTTTCCCATGGACCTGGTAGGTAGGACCCTGGTCAGGACCTCGTATTTTTTCTGACCTTCTTGGTTGATTCCTAGAGGGACTTCAACTTAGAAATTCATCTCTTAATAAAGAACTTTTTGTACAACACCAATAGGGATAATAGGGACCCTTGGTAAGGGTGGAATGACCAACAACCCGCACAATGAGTTTTGACCATGGTGCATGAACGTGCATTTGTGCAGCCACCGTCACAGTGTTTTGAGCCAAGCCAGGCCCTGGGGCCCCGACGAACGCTCTTCCCTCTCATTGATTTGCACGGCCGAGCCGGGTGCCAAAGTGGGGCGACACCAAGCCGAGCCCGGAGGGCCACCCGGGAGAAAACCGACAGCGGAACGTCGCTGTCCGGTCGGGCTGCGGGCGTTGCTGTGGATTCTCAGGTCTTCGGAGTGTTTACCTACTTGCTTGCATGAACTCATGGGCAAGGAAAGTGTTTCCTGCCTGCCAAAAGAATTGTGCGGTGAGGTCTTATGTTTTTCATCACTCGAAACAGTCAGATTGCTTCCTTCCAGGCTTCAGTCCTTGAACTCGAGTGAGAAAGAAGAAACAACTCAGAAACAACTCAGAAACAACCACTCCTGCTCATATTTTTTTACTGCACTACACCGAGTGACCCCCAGAGGATGCTTTCCGGCACCCGTGTTTGGCCTCCAATGTCTCCAGCAAGGTGACGGAGGTGACCTTGTTGCACGGTGCCAGTGCACCCAATGTGAGCTTGCTGGCTGCGTAGTTGCAGAAAGTGTCTTTTCAAACTACGCAACTTCCGGTGATGGCAGGTGATGGTGGCATGTCAGGTGCCACCATCAGAACGGCATGGACATCCAGGTGATATGGGATCAATTGAGCCCGTCGGTGGGGCGGGTCTATTTTCTTTATGGTCTGCATGGGTTTGACAGGTCAGAGTCTCTATATTTCGGATCTTGGAGATAGTTCTTGGGATCATTCAAGTACAGGTCAATTGATCCTGTCCGGCCAATCCATCCCATGTCGAATTGGGCGCCTTTGGAGGGCCGCAGGGGCCGCTAGTTTCCTTTACAGTCAAGCACAACCAATCTCAATACTCAAGACTCTTGGCCCAAATCCAAAGCTGCGGTTCCTTTTTGCTGCTTTGCCAGGAATCATCATCAGGAGGAATATACAATCAGACATCATGTATTCTTTGTTTTATAGATTCTGGAGATGCTCAGCCTGGCATAAATAATCCCCATTGCTTTGCAACAGCCGCGAAAAGAATATACTCTGTCTTGGGTGCAACCGGAGCTCAATGAGAAAGCTACCCAGTTTCTGTTGAGGCAGGACACAATGATCTACATAACATGCAGTTTTTGGGGCTTTGCCTGAACGTCACAAGGGGCTTGAGAGAACGCTCTTCAAAGACATCCTGAGAAGGCACTTAACCCATACCCATGATATCCTAGGTCCTTCACAGGATAGACTCACAGTTTTTAGAGTCGCCAGCTTGCCCCACGCTGAAATTTTTAGGATGGCTTGTTGAATTAAATTGATATGGTTGATGGAGACGCGCTCGTCCTGGTATTCGTTGGTTGTTGATCAAGGCCTGTTGTTGGCTGCTACGGGCAGTCGTTGTATGTACATGAGTTTGTAGTTCATGTGTTTGTTTGCTAGCTTGCTTGCTTGTTCGCTTGTTTGACCTCCTTTGATTGCTGTTGCTTTGCTTGTTTGGCCCAGCTTGGCTTCTCAGGTGCATCTCTTGCCGCATGGAGCGCAGCCAAGACTGCCAATTGGTCCTCAAGTCGTGCGGTCCCCACGCCCACGCGGGCGGTGTCCACCGTCCCCGAGGCCCGGAACAACGTCCACGAGAAAGAGCTGAATCCCCTGGGTGTGAAGGGCAAGAAGGCGGGTTGGGGCGGTTGTAACAAGGACGCTACTAGGGGCTCCTGGCCTTACTACTAGGAGCAAGGACGCTACTAGGGGCTCCCGGCCTTACCACTAGGAGCAAGGACTCGAACATTGGAGCAGGCATCCACGAGTCATGGAGAGTAGCCGGTTTTTAGTGACGATTGGGTTGAGCAAGGGTGCAAGGAATCGTGCAGTTGTGAGACATTTGCAGGAAAAGGAAACACAGCCTCCTCCCCGAAATGCACATTTATCCACTTGATGTAGTTGAGAACGTCAGAAGTTATCTCATCAGACTTAATGACTGGATGCAAATGTGGAGATATGAACGGTATCAATCAGAGTCCCTCTTTCTACCAAACAGAGCTGGTTAATCGGCCACACAGGCAGCATGCACATGAGACCCCGCGTCGAAAAACTCACACTTCATGTCTCATTCCCCTCACATGACTTTGATGAACATAGGTAGCCTGTAATGTCGGTGGGACCGACACGACCCAGACCCCACACATCCCGCCAGGCCTTCCCGATCCCCGGTCGGAGCCTGCCCGGACTGAGCAAGGCGAAGCAACTGGCTCTACAAGAATCAAGGGATGTGGGAAACGTCTTGATTGTACGGTCACTAGGATCCTTGCAACACTTTCCAACAAACGACTTAGTGTCTGGGGGGAGACACCCTAGTCCATGGCAGGAAACATGACTCTCCTAAAGCTCATGGGTGTTGAGCTTCGACCTTGGGGACAAGCAAACACGCCCTACAGGACGTCAAACGGAGAGAACCGACGAATGTTGGCTACTAGGCTTTTCTTCGCAGTACCTTCCTCACGTCGTGGTGTACCCTTTTTGGCGACTGATGCGACAATAGGACAAGGACCCATATAGTGATCTCCAAATAGATAGAAACGGTTTCCAACACATTTTTATTTAGTGGGGATCTACTTCTCTATCTGGTCTATCTACTTGGGGCTCTCTCTCTATATATAGCCTAGTAATCTACTGTATATATAGCCTAGTCACCTAGTCTTTTTTTTATCGATGAGCAGAGCCGAGCTTGAGCTCGACTCACTCGAAGCGGAGGTGCAACCGGAGCTGGACGACTCCCTTCCTCATCTGAAAGACTTCTGATTCTGGCCTGGGATGGAGGAGCGTCATGGAGTCTGGAAAGACTTCTGAATATGGTGATCCTCAGATGGATGGCACAACCCTATCCAGGATTCTTCAAAAGAACCGCGTGTGAAGTGAACAGGGGTTTTCCAAACCGCAACGGGTGTCCCTTACTTTGCTGGGAAGAGATGGTCTGTTTTCATTGGCGCTGGATCCGTCGAAGCTTGAGACCGTCGAAGCTTTGGGTCTGAAAGACGTCTGAGAAGTAGAATCGAAGCTTGATCCGTCAGAGAAACCGCAGAGAAACCGTTTGTGTTGTCTCCGTCCGAGGTGTTGAGATCGGTCTTGTTCTTCTCCGTCTGAGGTCTTGCTTGCCTTGTTCTTCCTTCGTTGGTGCCCCAAAATCAGAGGTTCTCTCAGTTCTCTCCTGGCATTACTACTAGGAAATTATATATGTACTAGAAACGAAAAGCTACTAGGACTAGGAGCTCCTGGCATTACTACAAGAAAAACATGCTACTAGGAAAGGGCATCGCTACGAACGGAGCGATCGGACGCTACTAGTACTGAAGCTCCCGATGCGGATCATCCCAGCTCCCGATGCGCCGACGTGAACCAAGCGGAACACACGTTGGCATCGGCTCGTTGGCATCGTTTCACGCGTGGAGAGTCTGCGCAACTCAGTTCTGAGACAGTTTGGGGATTCTTGATGTGTTCAAGACAGCAAAGAGGGGCTCCGCATCAAAGTCTCGTGCTTGGATAGTCTTATCTACGTGGACAGGCTTTCTCTACCACTGCCAACATACCCTAGCACGATGCATTGCAGCGCAACATAGATCACCCACAGATCTGGATCCGACGCGATGGGATCTGGTGGTCCTACCCAAGGTATGGACCGGAAAAAGGGGAGGGGTGTGGGGATGCGGGCTTGTGAGGATTTCCCAACGAAGTTGAGCACTGTTGGTCGAAGGGCCTTCTTTTTTGGGGTATTCTTTTCAGGTTCAACTTCTGCAGTGTTGGTGACCTTTCGTTTTCTCTTGGGGTACACAGGTACACATCATTCCACGTGACCAACCACCAACCCAGAAGCCGAAGAGGTCTCGAGTTCTGGGAGGTTCTCTCCTGCTCTTGGAGAGCTTTTGGAGAGAAAAGATGCTTGGCCGCTTGGCAGAAGTAACATCGACATCTTCATGATTGCGACATGTTGCGGGGGCCCAACTCATGCAGTGAGATTACATAAATATTCTGCACTTGAGTACCGTCATGCCGGGCCCGGATTCTATCTTACAGTAGATTTACACTCCAAACCACTAATATGGAAGTGGAAAACCACTTGTTTGTAGCGGAACTTGGCAATCCAAGGGGCCATTTTTCATCATTTTTCACATCCATGATTATTTTCAGGGAGTGTAATCACTTCGACTCGGCACTGTGGTATGTGCGATCGGCGCGGAGAGGGATCAGAGTCGGTTGCGCAACAGTTTCTGGCTCCGTGCCTACAGAAGGCAGGCTTCATCCTACAGAAGGGTACCAAATGGATTCAAAAAGAGCTCTGCAAGACAACACACCAACTAGCAAGCCAAGCAGTGTTGCTGCACCCACCATTTAGCTCGAAGAGTTGTGCAGAAATTGCTTGGCTTGACATTCATATATATATATATAATAATAAGTATAGTATATATTTGGGCCTTTTTGCTTACATCCTGTCAAACCTTGCCCACTCAATTTAGTTCTGTCTAGGACCTACTTCTAGGACCTACTTCTTCTAGGACCCGACCAGCTTTGATAATTGCCAGCAATGGCCGGGCGGGGAACTCAGGCATTGTGGCAGCTTGGTTGCATACAGAACTGTCGTGCTCGACATCAGATTGTATTGTAGAGCTTCGCACACTGGCGATGCCACAAGGGTTGTTGTTTCTCTTGTTGCAGAGCTTCGCATCATGTTGTTGGTCGTTGGTGTTGTTGTTGTTGCTGCTGCTGCTGGTACAGACAAAACTGCAGCCGCTAACACATTTTGCTTTCTTTATCTCTATCATTCTCTATCCCAACATAGAAAGAAAAACAGCAGGACCGCTGTTGTTTTTTGATCCCCCCCTCCAAAACAACAATCCAACAAGTAGTGTTTTAGTGCTGGCACTGCCCGTGGTGGCGGTGGTTGCTGTAGTAGTAGTAGTAGCAGCAGGAGTAGTAGCAGTAGTAGTAGTAGTAGGAGTAGGAGTAGGAGTAGGAGTAGCAGTCGTAGTCGCAGTCAGAGGAGTAGGAGTAGCAGTCGTAGTCGCAGTCTTAGCCGTAGCCGTAGCCGTAGTCGTAGTAGTAGTAGGAGTAGTAGTAGTAGTCGTAGTCGTAGTCGTAATAGTCGTATAGCAGTCGTATAGTAGTCGTAGTAGTAGTAGTAGTAGTAGCAGTAGTAGTAGTAGTAGTAGTCGTAGTCGTAGTCGTCGTCATCGTCGTCGTCGTCGTAGTAGTAGTAGTGGTAGTGGTAGTGGTAGTGGTAGTAGTAGTAGTAGTCGTCGTAGTAGTAGTAGTAGTACTAGTAGTAGTAGTAGTAGTAGTAGTAGTAGTAGTAGTGGTAGTGGTAGTGGTAGTGGTAGTGGTAGTGGTAGTCGTAGTCGTAGTAGTAGTCGTCGTCGTCGTGGTGGTCGTAGTCGTAGTCGTAGTGGTAGTAGTGGTGGTATTAGTAGTAGTTGTTGTAGTTGTAGTTGTAGTTGTGGTAGGAGGAGGAGTAGTAGGAGTAATAGGAGGGGGAGTAGGAGTAGGAGTAGGGGTAGGGGAAAGAGTAGGAGTAGGAGTAGTAGTAGTAGTCGTCGTCGTCGTGTAGTAGTAGTAGTAGTAGTAGTAGTAGTAGTAGTAGTAGTAGTAGTAGTAGTAGTAGTACTAGTAGTAGTACTAGTAGTAGTAGCAGTAGCAATAGCAGTAGCAGTAGCAGTACCAGTAGTAGTAGCCGTTGTTGCAGGAGTAGGAGTTGTCGTGGTTGTCGTCGTCGCAGGTAAGAACCATCAACATGTGCAGGGATCAGTCGGGAGGGGGTCCCCTAGACACATCAAAAAAGCGTAAGTAGCATCCCTCTACAGGGACCAATGCTTTTCCCTGCAAAAACACTTGACGGTCCAGAAAGCATTCAAAAAAGAACATTCGCATTGACGGCCGACGGGCATCGCTCAGCACTGATCGGACCCCCTATCAGGAACATGCAGGCCCTGCTCCGCTCACGCTCACGTTCATCGCCCCCAGCAGATTTTAGCCCAAATCAACCCGCCCGCACCGAAGGTGCTGAGGCGTTTTTTATAAGGCGCGCGTTATACCGCAAGTACCGCAAGTACTAAATAGCTTTAGCTAGGGGGAGGGCCATTTTCGCTCTAGAATCCTGTGTTTTTTCACGTTTTTGGAACCGGCTTAAAGTGCTGGAAGATAAATTCGTGCTAATTTTTGCTATCTTGAAGCCTTTAGTGATGCAAGAAATGCAATTTTCTGCTTTGCATCATCTGCATCATCTGAGCGGTAAAGTGTAATTGGACTCAGGCCGGACATTTGGCTGAACAGGTGCCCCTAAGGGGGGCTCAACATAGCTTCCATATTGCGTAACATAGCCCTAGAAGTCACTATCTAACGGACGTGTCTGCGAGATAGGGACTTGAACGTCCGGGTACGTGGCTGGTCAGGAGCAGAGATAAGGAAAGATAAGGTCCAGGAATGGTGGTCAGGAGCAGACTCACGAGCATAGCTCCCATATGGTCGAACATAACCCCAGAAGTCACTATCTCAAGTATGCTTCCCCGAGATAGGTACTTGAACGTCGTAAACATGGCCCAAGGCTCAAAAGGGACTGGAATAGAGTGAAGATATTGCCTAACATAGCCCTAGAAGTCACTATCTAAAGGACGTGTCTGCGAGATAGGGACTTGAACTTCGTAAGCTGGAATATAAAAAACCCCTAACGTGGCCAAACATGGCTTCCATATTGCCTGACATAGCTTTAGAAGTGATATTTGGCTCCACAGGAGCAGAGATAAGCAGAGATCACGTCCAGGAACGGTAACATTTTCGCACGAGCAGCGCGTGCATATGATCGAACATAGCCCCAGAAGTCACTATCTCAAGCATGCTTCTTCGAGATAGGGACTTCAACGTCGTAAACATGGCCCAACGAGGGCTCCAAAGGGACTGGAAAAGCTTGCAAAGTCACTATCTCAAGCATGTCTCCTCGAGATAGGGACTTGAACGTCCGGGTACGTGGCTGGTCAGGAGCAGAGATAAGGAAAGATAAGGTCCAGGAATGGTGGTCAGGAGCAGAGATAAGGAAAGATAAGGTTCAGGAATGGTGGTCAGGAGCAGACTCACGAGCATAGCTCCCATATGGTCGAACATAACCCCAGAAGTCACTATCTCAAGTATGCTTCGCCGAGATAGGTACTTGAACGTCGTGAACATGGCCCAACGAAGGCTCAAAAGGGACTGGAATAGAGTGAAGATATTGCCTAACATAGCCCTAGAATCAGAAGTCACTGAAATATTGGCCCCTTCCATGCGGTGCCGGCGGTTACCGTCGCGAAGCGACGTGAATACCCTTCATATCACCCGCCTTGACTCTCCGCCTCGCGGTTCGTTGAGCTGCACACCACGTCGCGATCACGAAACTTGCAGATCTTTTCACACCTCGTGGACTTCAACAGAATGCTGCAGCTGTCAAATCGACGCCAAACAAGTGTGCCAGAGACATGTGCAGGCGGAAGACAAAACGAGACCTAGGGATCTGTGGGGGACAGGAGTAGGGGCTTAGACTTGGAGATGTGGGTGTCACCTGACACCTGCTGTTGCAAATTTTTCTCCAGATAGCAAGAGCTATTGGGGCTCTTTCTTCAAATATAGGGAGGTGCCTGTGTGCAGGCTAGAGGCTGGACGCAGGTGCCGCTGCAGGGTGCCGTTGCATGTGGAAGCTGCTGCCAGATGTCTATGGCCGTGTGCGCTTTGTAGCTTGGATGCTGGTGCCTCTGGAGGCTGCCGCCGCAGGTGTTGCTGCCAGATGACTGCAAGTGCATGCATCTTCCTGCAGTTCGTGTTTGCGCATATCATCTCAACAGTCAAGGAAGCACA